CAACATCCAATAGATGCTTAAAAATCTCAGTGCTCTATTACCATTGTTTCTTAAAGCTGAATAGTACTCCGTGGTATATGGAGTACTATTCAGCTTTAAGAAACAATGGTAATAGAGCACTGAGATTTTTAAGCGCAAATTTAACCACACCTCTCGGGCATTTTAGGCTACTATCCAATATCTGTTTACTGGAAAATTTGTGATGAATATTTTCCTGCTTAAATGATTTTTTTCTTTACTGGAAATATTTCTTTAGGATAAATTCTTACCAACAATGCACATCGAAGTTTATAAATACAATATGGTCATGATTCATATTGCCAAACTGCTTTCCTAATGCATTATCCCAACTTACACTATACACTAATACTTTATGAGCATACCAGTTTTACCGCAGCCTTTCTTTCTAGCATTTGGACGTTATCATTAATTTATTTTTAATGAATTTGATAAGCATAAGCATAAAATATTTCTTACCTTATTTTTTGTATACCTTTGGATAATTAGCAAAGTAGAATGTAGATTTTTTTAAATGTGGAAAATGTGAGAATTAGTTGTCATAGTGAATTCTTTTTACGTCAGTCTCATCTCAAGACTTGCATCAGCAGGTGCAGAGAGAGAACAAAAGTGTGTATATTTAGTGTGACTCATCAATCCAGTTGTAGGCTCTTCACCTTGCTTCATGATTGATGCTGCCTTTGAGACTTTTTAAATATCTAACTCATCAAGCTAAGTTCAATGAAAATTGAATTACTTCTTAGAAAGTCAGCCAGTTTTGATTCCATTCTTGGTAAGAGAAGGTAAAAGGAAAGTATATAGCTATTAGATTGTTGAGCTTCTGATAAACATTGATGATGTTGATAGTGGTTTAATATATCAGGTTGTCTTTTATCATTTATCATTTTTTAATGAGTCAACCAACACAGGCATTTCAAAGTGACCTGTTTTTTTCCTTCTCAAAACTGTGACTCTTTAGGCAGGCATTTACCAAGGCTATCAGCTACTCTTCCCAGGAAGCAGCTTTCATAAATTAGTTCCTCTAATTATAGCGCTGCTCAGGACATGACCCTCTGGAACTAACTGATTTCAGAGCATCCTGGTTGGTGATACTGTCCTTAGCCATTCCTCACTGGGGGGACATTCCTAGTATTAAACTAGTGGGGACTTTGCATTGTTCAAGTTTAATGGTAAAGAGCTAGCCTCTTAATGTGCCAATCTCATCCTCACATAATAAATCTACTCTCATTTAGTCCTTGGTTGCAGTTGACTTGAATACTTTCCAGAATTGACTTGGAGTATGAAAACTGGCTCTTCTGGCTTATGTTGCCAGAGTTATGAGAAGACGACTGGGACAGTTTTGTTCCCAGGGTTTTAGGTGTGTCTCTTGTCTCTTTTCAGATACTTAAAAAAAGTATATGTGTGTGTGTGTGTGTGTGTGTGTGTGTGTGTGTGTGTATCAGTAAAGTTTTTTAGGCTCATGGGAATTTAATAATATACAAGTTGCTGCTTATTACAAAATATTCTCTGGGTATTCTGTGCTATATGGGAAGTACATTCTAATATAGCAATGAAAACTTTGATGCATATTTAAGTTACTAAGTAAATTAGTATTTAGTAACTTTTTCACAGTGGTGATAGAGACAGGACTCATCCACGTTAGGCAATAAATATCTCAATATTGCTTTATTTTAAGGACATACTTTTGGTTTTTTAACGTGGCCATATGTGTATGGAATCCTCCCACGTGGGATTTCATAATTCACCAAAAATAAGGCTTTAGTTCTTATTTTTTAAGTTAATCTTTCATTATAGAACTAAGATTTCAAATCAAATTAAACTTTTTTCTCATTGACATTTCCATTCTTAATGTAGAGCTGAGAAAATGTCTGCATGTGACTCTCTGGGCCATGGTAGAAATAATTAGTGAAATTGTACAGCTCCTGTCCCAGGAAGCTGTCCCAGTGAAACAACTTCTAGTCCTGCTTTGGGACACCCCTAGGATTTCTCACATTATCCTTACGTTAGAATCTTCTATAACAGAACAAGTGTACCATACAGGACTTCTGTCCTTCTAGGGAGAAGGGAAATAAATTTATAATCAACGTGTGTTACCATTTCAAAATGGCTGTAGCTGAACAAATTGTTGATTTGATGAGTAGGTTAAGGATGGTGAGGATATTGCTATACTTACCTAGGGCAGTGTCTTGTTTCTGTATAAGACAAAAACATGAAAATAATTGTGGTCTCATAAGGCAATAAGCACGAGTCAGTCATGCAGGAAGAAAACCTTAGAACTATCATGGAAAGTCTTAAAACTTAGCCATTGGCTATTTTCCAGTAGAGAATGGGATTTTATCATGAAGTGTCTTTTGGAGTTCTCCTTTATGATTTTGATGTGCTTGTTTGATGTAGAGAGATTACTAAATTCTGTGTACAGATTTTTTTTTTTTTTTTGAGACAAAGTCTCACTCTGTTGCCCTGACTAGAGTGAGTGCCATGGCGTTAGCCTAGCTCACAGCAACCTGAAACTCCTGGGCTCAAGTGATCCTCCTGCCTCAGCCTCCCGAGTAGCTGGGACTACAGGCATGTACCACCATGCCCGGCTAATTTTTTCTGTATATTTTTAGTTGTCCAGATAATTTCTTTCTATTTTTTTTTTTTTTTTAGTAGAGACGGGGTCTCGCTCTTGCTCAGGCTAACTCCTGAGCTCAAACAATCAGCCCGCCTCGGCCTGCCAGAGTGCTAGGATTACAGGCGTGAGCCACCACACCCGGCCTATGTACAGCTTTTCTTACCACAAAGCAGGTGCTAGCCTTTTTCAGTGTGCTTTTTTTTAATCTTTTTTTTATTGAGATGAAATTCACGTAACATAAAATTAATCTTTTTAAAGTGAGCAGTGCAGTGGCATTTAGTACATTCATAATGTTGTGTGACCACCATCTCTATCTAATTCCAAAACATTTTCATCACCCCAAAAGAAAACCCCATTAAGCCAAGCACTCCCTACTCCTTCTAGCCCCTGTTTTCTGTCTCTATGGATTTGCCTATTTTGAATATTTCATATACATGGAATCATACATTGTGTGACCTTTTGTGTCCAGCTTCTTTCATCTAGCATAACGTTGTTGAGGTTCATCCATGTTGTAGTATGTGTCAGTACTTCATTATTTTTATGGCCAAATAATATTCCATTGAATAGATATGCCACAACGTGTTTATCCATTCATCCATTGATGGACATTTGGGTTGCTTCTTTCAATATACCTTTAAAGTTTATTTGATTTTTCATTAGGTAGAAAGGACTTGCATTTGGCCTGAATTTGTTTCCCCATGGCTCATTCTTGGTCCTACTTCATCTGAATGGTACTACAGGAAGCTAAACTGATCTCTTCCTCTGTCTCTGCCTTCAGTAAGAACTTGTTCAGCACCTATTCTATGCCCATTTTATGAGAGCCTCTTAGATATT